CACCCCCGCCAGCTCGTCGGGGCCCCGCTCCTCGAGGATGCGCGGGTCCGACGTCAGGTACGCCAGCGCCGCCGGGTACAGCTGCGGCTCCTGCGAGCCGTATTTGCGCAGCGCCCGGATCGCGCCGCGCGTGTCCTTTGCGGCCGTGTACGACCGGAAGATGTCAAAGAGCAGGCCCGACTGCTCCTTGACGAGCCGCGTGCCGTCCGGAAAGTCGGACAGGTGCGAGAGGAGCAGCACGTTGGAGCTCTCCATCGGAATGTCCTGGCCTTCGATGAGCTTCTTGGCCTTGTTTTCCCACTCCTCCTTGTGCTGCTCGCCGCGCTTCTCGTTCGACTTGGAGAGATACATCTCGAACAGTGTCGTATAGAGATCCGTTCGGTCTGAGTGCTTCAGCTCCTTCTCCTTGAGACATGCCTCGAGGAAGACGATGAACTCGTCTGGGTGGTCGATGAAGGAGGAGAACGCCGTCCTCGGCGGGGGCGGTGTGTATTTGGGCGCCGGGATGTCCTCGGGGTCGAGGATGACTGTACCGTTTCCGTTCGTCTTGCCGCCGTTCTCTTGCGAGTCTGGCGTCGCCACCGCCGCCGAGTTCATGTACGGGAGGGGAAGCAGGTTCGTGAGGTTTTGCACGGCGCTGGCAGCTCCGGCAACACCGGCGACGAGACGGCTAGATGTGTTGCCATCGTTGTCTTGGACCTGGATGATCTGCATGCCCGTCGTGTCTCCTCCGAACGCCCCGATTCGTGGTCTAAATTTCCCGGTGTAGTAGTCGACAAAGATGGATGTTGCCTCTTTCGGGCAGTGCTCAATAAGAACTCGTGCGTATTTCTTCAAGCAGGGATAGGCCTGGGACTATCAGTCGCCAGCACGTCTTCATCATGTCAGGGGCACTCACCACTTCGGGGTCTTGTCGCCAGATAAAGTCAAGAGCCTCGTCATACTGCTTCGAGTCCTCAATGAGGATATCGACCACCAAGTCAATCTCGCCATGCTGTTTCGCGAGGTACGCCGCCTGCTCGTAATAACCACCCTGTCTGCACATCGAGATGGCCGTTTCGAGGTCGAACTTCAGGTCGCCGGGAGATTTGATGAACTTCTCCAGCTTGTCGATGTCTTTCAGTTTCGCGTAGCAATTTAGGAGCAGTGTCGTGTGATCGGACGTTGCTTTCCGGTGTTCGTGCAGCTGCTCCAGATATTGGATGAGGTTATGTATCCTCTGTGTGTCGAGGAATTTCCTGATAACCTGTGATGGCTCTGTTGTATCTATCGCTTTGATGTACTGCACCATGGCGCCGTCATAATCTGCCTTCTGGTAGAGGTGATCGCCAAAGCGGCGGAAGATCTCGGTCCGCTGCTTCTCGTCCATGCCTGACTTTTTGGCGAGGTCGATTGCGAGGGGATACATGTTGCGCTGGAATAGGAGTTCCAGCTTTTGCTGCAGCGTCTTCTCGTGATAGCGGTGGACCTGATGTTGTTAGTTGCCGTGAGCGCGTGCATGTGCTTTTTACATCCTACCTTGCCGTCCTGCGTCATCACAAACAAGTCGCCCCAAATCTGAAAGAGTGCCCTGAAAGGCGAGATGAGCGACTCAGTGTGTCCAATGAGGCGGAGGTCTGCTTCGAGAAGGACAAAGGTCGAAGCATTGAACAGTGCATCCGCAGCTCCTCCAAACCGGCGCCTCATCGAGTCCGGCTGCTTGTCCTTGACAGCGCTCGATGGCGGGCATACGAGCGCTGTGTAGTCGCCGTATACAGCGACCGACTTTTTGGGTGACTCGTATGCCTTTGGCGGCCCGCGCCCATCAACGGTATAGGTATAGATGGCATCATCCCGCGCAACGACGACTTCTTCGGTCCTCTTGTCCAGCGTCATGCACCCCACATCGCATCCGACGTCCTCGACCGTCTTGGGCGGATATCCATGCCCCTTCTTGGAGATGGAGAGCTTCAGTATCCGCGCTGTTGTCGAAACGAATAGAGTGGTGCTGTTGTTGCTTGGTTCGGGGATGAGCTCGACGCCCGTCACTGGCTCCTCGGATTCGTGCATGATGCGCTGCTTCGCGCCCAAGTCGTTGATGAGGTCGCCGCGGATGACAGTCACGGTACCGTTGGCGAAGCCCACAGCAATCTGAGAGAGGTCGTCGAGGGCCGTGAGTGCCGAGATCTACGCTGGTCAGCACGGCACGCGGCGGCACTTCCTCCCGCCCGACGTACCGGAAACTGTTTCTTCCCATTGTTGATCCGCAGCGTGCTGAGGCACGTCGGCATGTTCGTCTTCTTGACCAGCTTGTCGAGCGCCCAGACCTTGAGCACCGGCTCGTTGCTCAGGTCCTCCTGTTCGCTGTCAGCGGCGGTCGCACATGCCCGCAAGCCGGTCGGCCTACCGCGATTGTGAGCAGCAAGCTCGTGCCCTCGATCTGTCGCATGTGGGTGATGGCAGCATCGTGCGCTTGGAAGCTTCGAACGATTTTCCAGCTCGCGCCCACTATCCGTACATATCCATCGTAGCTTCCGAGGAAGAGGCTGTCGGAGCCGGAGCATATCTTGGAGATGTCATTGCTCTCGACAAAGAGGCGCGTCTCGTCGTCCGCCAGACGGACCTGGCTGACGTCGAAGAAGTCGAATGCCCTCCACTGACTCTGTTAGCTGCTGCGCTGTCGCATAGTTCTTTGAAAGCGTACCGATATGGCCATCGCTACTTTCCTTCAAAAGGTGTTTTTCGGGGGGGGGGGGGGGAGATGTTGACGCTGTAGCCTGTCGCAGCATGACGATGTTGGGAGCTCGAGCTCGAGCTGTTGGTAGTGACAAGCGCCACCCACGATGGACCCACTTCCGGACCTCGGTGAAACTCGGTGAGCGCACATCTGCCTGGGCACGGGAACGAGTACCACTCTTGTATTCCAAAGCAAGATGATGTACTTTTGTCAAAGAATCAAATGGGTATCATATGTAAGCTACTACAGAGTATAAAAAACAGGTCATTTTTCGGCAGCCGATGCCTTGAACCGTCTCCCAAAGCTCTCCCGCTCCTTCGAACCACCCCTGAACAGCGTTGAGAAGCTCCTCAAATCTACCAAAGGAGCCATGGACGGCCTTCCGTGTGCGCATTGAAATGGAAAAGAACAGTCTGCGAGCTGTCGCACAAGTTCGGTGCACTGATCCAGGGACAGGAAATCGTTGAACATGATGGCACTGCGGCAGGATCTCGAATTGAGCATGTCGAGAATGCCAGGCGGACAGCCTTGAAAGTTCGAGACCCAATCTTCAGCATCCCTGGCTCTGGAAGGATGCAGTGGAGTGCGTGGGCCTTCTTCCTCTAGTCTCCAGACCTCGTGTCTCAAGAGGTCCGCCAGCAGCTTTGGCTCATCAATGCAGCGCTTGAGGATGCTTGGTGGTAAACTACGTACGTCGAGGGTAGAAAGCTGGGCCGGCCCTGAGGTCTGAGCCGGTGATCTGATGATGTAGGTTATTCCCCAGTTTTCGAAGTGATTGGTGCGGCGTCGAAGTAGCTCACACTCTCTGCTACTCAGCTCAAACGTGAGAGGGGCGCTCAATGCCACGGTCTCGGCTCTGAGGACGGCATTGCTATCCAGGACAAAGTATCCCTTCATTAGGGTCTCCAGTTTACACCGTTCGTCTGCGGCATGCTGGTCAACAATAACTAGCATTGTGTTGTTGCCTTCTTCACAGAAAAACTTCGAGCTTGTTTCTTGTCGCAACTTGACGAGTATGAATTTGTTGTCAACCTGAGCGACCACGTCGGCGTCGCGTAGACTTTGTTTGGACAGTTGTCCCTGCAGCTTTATCGACGACATTTCGACCGAGGAGCTTCCCAGGCCATGGCCGCCGCATTTGACTTCAGTGCCTGCAGTGGCTGTGACTTCCTCCATTCGGTAGATTGGAGCCTCGGTGGCTGGAAAGACTGGGTTCTCCCACGATCCAAGAAGGCCCCTGAGCCACTCGCTCGGCTCTTCATGAGCCTTGTCTCTTCCAAGTCGGATGCTTTTGGAGAAGATTTTGAATATTCCACCGGTCTGCACTGAAAGAGGCCTAGTATCTGACGGGTGGACATCACATTGATTCTCGTCCGAAGGCTTTTCGGCAGCTTCTTCGGGGGTGTTCGTGATGGCAGGCGACTGCAAGCCTGGAGAATCTTGCTTCGATAGAGATGGCGGCAGACCGATCTCGTCAAATGGCTTCTGAAGTAGCCGCCCCTCTTTGTCGACGAAGGGACTTCTCTCGCCAGGCACTCGGTCGCTTTGGAGAACCGTGTCTGGTGGTACGAGCGGCAACGGCACTGATTGGGCCTCATTAGCATTGAGCTTGGGCATCAACTGCCGTGCCTTGCCAACTTTGACCCTTTCCCAGAGGTCGAATGGCGATGCGGTTCTCGGAACAGGTGTCGAAGTTCTAGAACGACTCTTTGACGAGGACGCGGATTTAACATGCTTGGTGATGGTCGTGCTGTCACTACGAGAGGCTTGCCGCTTCAGGTTGCGTCCCGACGACAGTGTTCGAGGACGGAACTGATGTTTCTTCAAGAATTCGAAGCATACAATCTTGATCAGATCGGAGATTTGGGACAATCTCCGGGGCTGTTCTAGTATGTCTTCGAAGGATCGATTGTGCGGCGAAGGGGCGGTGCTTTCCACCCGGAAAGAGAACATGGGCCAACGTTCTAACCCTCTCTTTGACTTCAGATCTTTGCGCTGTATGGTATCCTTGGATTGAGACTCTGAAAAATCGGCAATCTCAAAATCCGAGTTGGCAAAGACACGATTCGCGTCTTCATATAGGGATCCATATCCCTGATCCCCTGCCATCGGATGAATACCAAAGCTGATGAACTGGGCTTGACGTGTCGCTACTGCGTTCAAAGAAATGGAACCCTTGACAGAGAGACTGCTTGTCGAACCACTCACAGCAACCCATGTGCCGTACGAGACATCCTCTGCGAGACCGGACTGCACCAGCATCCTTGAAATCCGTGTCGGAGGATCGTTGACGCTGGTGTCTGCAGGTGACGGACGAAGTCGGACTGTGTTCCGGCCACCTGAGTCTCGAAGGTGCATATTGACATCAGCGGCACATGCGAGCGACACGGCGACCACATCGTGAACCAAGCTGTTGAAGTCCCTGTCAAGAACTGTCTTGTCCATGGCAGAAGGCCGCTGCTTGACCCTGACTGCCATGTTTCCGAATAAGTCTCGGACACTAGCACGAGTCCCATGGCCGAAGGTCTGAATCTGGTGCTCTAGCTTTGCTGGCGTGTTTCGGACCAACAGCTCAGCGTTGCGAAAGGTCAAGGTGTTATGTGATTTGTGGGACCTGTGATGAGACGTGATAGAGAACAATGATAAAGCTGCTAGTGAGGCAATGAAGTCCCCATGAGCGCCAAACGTATCGTCTCCCCGGGGATAGCGCGACGTGTCTACAAAGTCAGCATGGAGGAAGAGACGGATATAGAACAGACGTACGATGCAATCTCCCGAGCCCTCCGTTCTCCGAGAACTCGTGAGGCGGTATGCCCTCACCATCATCTTCGACAACGCAGTTTCCTCTAGAATAGTCGACAGTGATGTTGATTCTCCTCGCCTTCGCATCTAATGAATTTTTGATGAGACCGACAATGGCTTCATTGAGAGACGTGATCACTACAGATGATCTGATCTGTTTCACAGCTTCTGGAGGGAGCGGTTTGATCGACATGCTGCTTCTGGTGTTCTCATCGTGGCGTTGATGCAGGTCAATTCTGATGACAGAGAATCGTTACACTCATAACAGGCAGTGTCAGGGTGCTCGAGGTGCAGTGTTACTCGGACCAGTGACGCCATGTGCCCCGAAACGGCTAGCGTCGTTGCCCGGGTCCCATTCCCCTTTGCATCTACCGGGGCGGGGAGCCGCCCCGCGCTAGACCCCGCGGTGCTGCCCCTCCATGATTTTCGCGGCGACGATTGGAAGTGACTCAACCTTCCGTGACAGACCACCAGAAGCCTACCTCTCGCGCCGGACAGCGACCACTTCATACAGCATGGCGGACCTAACAAAGGAGCAGAAGCTCAAGCTCATCACGCGAAACCTCGCCGAGGCCCTCGATGTCGACATCCTCGAGAAGGTCTACGATGAGGGTCGCGAACCCAACATTTACTGGGGTATGGTTGATGATAGAGCTGGGCGCAACTTGTGCTAATCGCCTTGTAGGCACCGCGACAACTGGTCGGCCTCACACTGGCTGTAAGGAACCCATTGGCCGCTCTGCTTGCGCTCTCTGACATGGCTAGACTTCGTTGCTGCCCTCAAGCTGGCAGACTTTCTCCGCGCCGGCGCCAGCGTGACTGTCCTGCTTGCCGACATCCACGGCTGTAAGTACTTCAGACACGCCCCTTTGCATTTGCATAACCGCTGACGCGATTCAAGTCCTTGACAGTGCGTACCAATCCGATCTCGAGGCGTGCGACGCAGACATACACCGAATACTGCAGCCCATGTTCAGTACGATGACTGACGTAGCGCAGATCTGAAGGCCCCCATTGAGATCGTGCAGTACCGTGCCGAATACTACCGCTTCACGATCACGTCCATGCTCAAGGCTGTTGGCGTCGACACTTCTAAGTAGAGCTGCTCTGACCCTTGCAACGCAAAGTCATCCCTGCTCACACATCGCAGGTTGCGTTTTGTCCTCGGCAGCGAGTACCAAAAGTCCTCCGATGTAAGTATTGATCCAAGCCAAGGTCGGAATATTGCTGATTCTGGAGGTAGTACGTCATGGACCTTTTCAAGCTCAGCTCCATTACCTCTGAGCACGACGCGCGGAAAGCCGGCGCCGAGGTTGTCAAGCAGACCTCCAATGCTCCTCTCGTAAGGCTCGGCACCGCATTGAAGACGGCCAAGATGCTGATGGAATGATAGTCTGGCCTTCTTTACCCTCTTCTGCAGGTGTTGGACGAGCAGTACCTTGGGGCTGACTGCCAGTTTGGCGGTGTCGGTTAGTAGCATGTCCCTGGCTTGAGAACAAGATGCTCATGTTTTGCAGACCAAAGGAAGCTTTTCACGGCCGCGAAGGCTTGGCTGCCAAAGCTGGGCTACAAGGAGCGCGCACACCTGATGAACCCCATGGTGCCGGGTCTTCAGGGTGGCAAGATGGTATGATACCCGGCGCATTTAAGAAGCGCAGCACACTAACGGCAGCAGAGCTCCAGCGAGGCCGACTCCAAGATTGACCTTCTTGACAGTCCTGACGCCGTGACGAAGAAGCTTCGCAAGGCTGAGGCAGTCCCTAAGATTCCTGAGAACAACGGCGTAAGTGCATGCGCCAATCGCACCGCCAACCCCGCTGACTGTCCAGGTTCTCTCCTTCACCGAGTTCGTCCTTCTTCCCGCGAGCGAGCTCAAGTCCGGCAAGGCCGAGTTTGTGGTCGACCGCAGCCGCGACAACCTCGAGCCGCTGGTGTACAATGACATTGCCAAGATGCACGAGGACTACAAGAACGACATCCTGACCCCTCAGATCCTGAAGCCGGCCGTCACCAAGGCGCTTCTTGAGTTGATGGAGCCGATCGTCAAGGACTTTGAGTCGTCGAAAGAGTGGCAGGAGGTCATGCTCAAGGCGTACCCTCCGGAAGAGAAGGCCAAGAAGGTCAAGAAGGTCAAGGACAAGGGCTCTCGTCACCCTGGCGCTGGGCCCGCTGGGGCGGAGAAGGCGGAGGGAAAGAACGAGAAGCCTATTGAGGAGCAGACTGGCATTTCGACACTGGAAATCGCCAACCACCCGCCGGCGCCGTAAATGCTCGTGATGACTAGAGATGCATGTGTTGTTACGAGAAAAAAGAAACGAAGCGTGTCGCGTATAAACGGGCCAAGAATCAGCGTGTGCATCTGCATCCATTGGTCAAATACCTTACTTGATGAAAGGATTTTCGGGTTACAAGGGTATTCGGCCATGTGCACATAGTCGCTCCACCAGCTGCGGCTGAAGTCTGGACCCTTAACAATGGCACGTCGAGCACCCCCAATCCCAATCCACCAACCAACCATTCACATCTGTACCATTGCAGACCAACATCATCAGGCGACCTACTGACTCCCAACCCCTCGCTCTATTTTCTGAAGCTGTCTTGCCTCTCGTTGAATCTCACCCTGACCTAATCTTCTTCCTTCCTTGCTGCACGACTCATTGAAGTCTCGACGTGGCAAGGCAACACTCCTTTACGACGACAGCTTTCCACCTGTTTCTGACGATTCCCGATTTCAACCTGATGGCGACAACGGAACCTGCGCCCTCGCCTCATGGTATTCCCCCCCGCCTCTTCTCTTCTTCTCGGCCCACAATCTCTCGAGCAACTCCCGCACACGCCTTCGAGCATCATGGCAGCCCGAGAAGCAGTCAGCTAACATCATGTCAGATCGCTCCGATCGTCCGGGCCGGCGTCGTCCCTTCTCCACGTGGGTGAAGAAGCTCACGACCAACTTCAAAAACTCCTCCAGCGACGGCCAGCTCCGCAACGGGTCCGAATCGAAGCGACTGCAGGGCAAAAAGGGCCACAAGAAGCACGTGTCGAAGAACAACAACCCGTACCCGCAGTCGGGCCGCGTCGGGCAGGGACAGACAAACCACAGCTCGCACTCGTTCTCGTCAACAGGCCGCAGCGGCAGTGCAACGTCACTAGAACGGAGCGTGCGGTCCGACGACGACGGACCTCCCCACACAGCGGGCGGGGCACGGTCGCTGGCGCCGACGGTAGCGACGGACCATGAGGCGCCGCATTCGATGGTCGCGCCGTCGCAGGGCGCCTCGTCCGTCGCCGGGACGAACCGCACGGCCGGGGGCATCGATTCGAGGCGGGGCGGCGACAGCACCTTCTCGTCGCCAGCGCCGTCGGTGCGGTCGCTGACGACAACCCTGACGACGATCCAATCGACCATGGCGCCGAACACGCAAACGACGACCAGCAACGCCGGCAACGGACACCACGGCGGCGGCGGCGGCGGCGGCAGCGGCAGCGGCCACCAGGGCCACACACAGTCGATCCAGTTCCACCAGCCCTTCCCGACAGCATCGCCTGCCTCGGCGATCCCCTCCCACCTGGCGCCCTCGTCGACGGGGCCCGGCCACCCGACAACGTACAACAGCGCAACGGCCAACAACCTGCTGACAGATGACGCCTCGATCCTGACGCTCGCCTCGTCGTCGAAGCGCCGCCGCCGCCGCTCCTTCGACACGGACGCCTCGGTCCGCGCCATGGCGCCCTCGTCCCTCTGGGGCGGCAGCCGCGAGTCGCTGCCCCTCAGCGTCCTCAGCGCCAACATCGACCACCACGCCGCCGCCGCCGCCGCCGCCGCGGCGCACCAGGCCGGCAGCAACCCGCGCAGCCTGCAGGGCGTCGGTGTCGGCGTCGGCCCCGAGCGCACGAGCATCTACTCGACCTCGGGCGTCGCGACCATGCTCAGCGAGCGCAACAGCTTCTACGCCAAGCAGCAGCGCGACGCCGGCGACGGCGCCAGCACGCGCAGCGGGTTCTTGGGCCACGGCCGCGCCGACAGCATTAGCGGTAGCATTGGCGGCGTGGCGAGCCCGCTCGTGAGCCCGCGCGAGAGGGCGGCCGTTGAGGAGACGATGGAGGAGAGGACGGCGGCGACGGCGGACGTGCGCGGCAAGGAGAGGGAGGACGACGGGCGCTAGATGCACAGCACGGCACGGCACGGCACGGTGATGATACCTTTGCATTTTAATCGGATCGGACGTTTCGGGGGTCGGTACAAGGAGGGGAACCGGGGTCACGGGAGGACGGTTGATGGGAAATTATGAAGTGGAAAGGTGGTAGGGGGAGGGATGTCTGCTTTTTTTCGTTCCTGCTTGTTCAGTGCGCGGCGTTGGTTCGGGCGGGATGCACGGTCTACGTATACAGTTACAGTACCGTGTTAGACGACATCATCAGTATTAAGGAAGAGTCTCGAGACGAATCTCTGGTTGTGGTTGCCATAGTGGCGCTGTTCGTCTTCATGCTGACTCCAAGATGTCTTTGAGTGCCTGGGAAATCAATCCAAAGTAAAATGGCGATTTTAACGGCAGGTTCCGTGAGATTCTGGTCCTTGATGCGCAAGAGCAGGGCTACCGTGGCGAAATAAAATCCTATACTTCTCGACTTGCCCAACTTTCCAGACAAACATCCAGTCAACCATGGTCCGAACACACACTATACTTTCCCCTAGTAATAAGGCAAAGGCTCGAGATCCAGCCCCTCGACCGAAAACTTGAACGAGTCGTTTCTGTACAACGTTAGCAAGTACGAATCACCCAGGAGCAAAAGGGCACGCGTACCTTGAATAGCTGCTGCCGGCATCCAGGTCCAGGCGGCCGCCGACGCAGTCCTCAAAGTTGACATCCGCATAGATGATGGTCTCGTCGTCTTCCCACTGCGGACCGGCGAGGACGTCGCCAAAGGGTCCGACAATGGAGCTGCCGCCGCGGCAGGACCACCCGGACGCGGCATCGTCGGCCCTTTTGGTGCCGTTGGTCCAGTCCACCGACGGCTTGAGGCCCTCGGGCATACTCGTGCCGTTGTCGTCGTCACAGCCGAGGACAACCTCGTGGCCGTCCTCGACCATGACGCTCTTGCGGCGCGCCTTGCGGGCGCCCGTCGGGCTCGTGCTGGCGCTCTTGTCTCCTGGCAGGACAATCTCGTGGCCTTCCTCGGTGATGCAGGAGCCCTGTCGTCCGCGGACCCCGTTGCCCTGCTGCTGCTGCTGCTGCTGCCGCTGGACGCCGTTTCCGCTTGCACCCGAAGAAGGCTTCTCTCTGACGGCCATGTTGGAGCTCACGACGAAGCACCTGCCCTCGCAACCAACGCTCCGCATCAGCGACAGCCAGGCATCGCGCGCATCGGCCGTCGGCGCGAGGTACAAGTTGACGTTCTGGGCGTAGAGCGCCTGGCGCAGCATGGGCATGTAGTTCTCCCAGCAAATGGCGGCGGCCATGTTGACGCGGGTGCCGCGGATGACGGTGCTGACGGCCTTGAGGGTGGCGGTGCCGCCCTGGGCCCAGATGAGGCGCTCCGTGGCCGTGGGCATGACCTTGCGGCGCTTGCCGATGACGCCGCGCGCCGGGTCGACGTAGACGGCCGAGCAGTAGAGGCTGCCGCCGGCACGCTCGACGAGGCCCGTGACGAGGAAGATGCCCGTCTGGGCGGCGATGCGTTCGAGCGCCTCGCGCGTGCCGTCGCCGCGGGACACGCCGCCCGTCTGGCTCTCGTCGAGGGACGTGGCGGGTAGCTCGCGGCGCAGCCAGGCATCGCCGGCGCCGGCGGCAAAGGGCCCGACGACATCGCCGAGGTCGATGGCCTGGCGGAAGTAGGCGGCGTACTCAGCGCGGCCCTTGGCAGAGCGGCCGCCGATGATGGCACCAAAGTCGGCACCGCGGGGGTAGCCACCCAGGTAGGCCTCGGGGAGGAGCAGCAGGTCGGCCTTGTTGGCTGCGGCACGGCGCGCAATGGCCTCGAGCTGGGACAGAGTGGCCGCTGTACCGTCTGGGTGAGTGGCCGGCGAGGCTGTCGCCAGGCGGACGTGGCCGGTGGGAGGGGCAGACATTCTTCCTTCAGAGACCTGGTGAGGTTCACGAGCCAGTATTTTAACGTGATGAGAGAAGGTTGTTGGTGCTCAAGTGTCTGATGTATTCCAGAACGATGGAGAGTTCACACTGGATGTCCAAGGTGTAGAGGATGGTGCTCCAAGATATTGGTCTTGGAAGAAAGAGTCATAGCAGTGCAGGCCTTTCTCTCGACAGTCAGTCACAGCATGGCAGCAGCGATCACCGGCAGCTCCTGCATTCAAACCCCGACCTCTCAAGTCCCCGAGTGGGGCGCCGCTTCCCGTCGGAGGCACGCCCTGTCTGATTCATAGCTGAGGTAGGTACCTGGGTAAGGCAAGGTAGGTACTGTAGTGCTCGTGGGAAGGTAGTACGTCAGTCATGCCGCTCACAGTGCCGTTCTTCAGCGTCACAGGTGCCTGGAGACGGAAAGCGTGGGCGGGCTGCACAGTACGAATAGTCGAAAGCCAGGCGCACCTGCCCTCGTTGCGTCCTCTCGTCTTTGAGCTTCCCATAGGCCAATGCCTCTAGCTTGTCTGGTTCGTGGACCTCGAGTCCAGAGTCTAGGTCGCTCTTTCCCAAACCCATCTTATCCGTGCCCGAGTAGGACCGATGAGGGGCGCGGGGTAATCGGGTGCTTAGCTCAGCGAGCTCGACGTTCGATATGTGCTCCCGCTGCGCAAACATGCATCCCATCTGCGAATGGCTTCGCCTAGGTAAGGTGCCTACAAACCCACGGTACTTTGGGTAGGTAGGTAGCGTAAGGTATCTAAGGTAGGGCATGTCGTGGTCCAGCAAGGAGCCTCATTCACGTCACTCTCCACGTCACCAACGAACGACTTGTCTAATATCATTTTATGTAACACTGACCCCCCCTTACCAAGATATAAAACACAAAAATCAGAACAAGAACTCGCAGACGCCGTCCATGCATGCCAGGGTATGCGAGTCGAAATGCCAGCCCCCGTCCAGATCCCGTCCCCGCCCCTGCCAGCGCCGTTGCAAAACCAAACCAGACCGTTCCATGTCGTACCATGTCGTGCCGTGCCGAGCCAACAGGATGGAGAGCGCAAAAACACATCAGCGTAGTGCATACCCACGCCCTGCCATCGCTGGCTGTCGTCTACCATCCGTCCCTCGTTCCTCGCTCACTCGCTGACCTCTCCCTCGTCCTCCACCGCTTCGAATCTACCGTCCATATCCACGCCCCTGGCGCTGACGAGTCCCATGTCCGCCCGGATCTCCCGCTGAATCTTGAGGAAATACGTCCGGAGCGTCCGCAGTCCCCGAATGAACCCCAAGTCCGCCTGTTCCGGATGCTGCGGCGGGCACGGCTTGCCCTCGGCGACGTCGCCCTTGGTGAGGCTGTTGGCAAAGTCCGCAATCTTAAAGTCAATCTCACGCTTGTTCTTGCGCCGCCGCTTCTCGCGCTGGGCGCTCGTCTCCTCCGTATCCGTCGCAAAGTCCGTCGTCGAATCATCCACCACCGTGTCGTACTCGCCGCCTCCACCGCTGCCGTCTCGCGCTGTCGTGTCTCCGTCGTAAAACATGAGCAGGCTCGCCGCATAAAACCGGTATCCGTCGAGCTCCCGAACAATCGACTCGAGTTGGTCCAACTTGGCGAGAATCGTCGGGATATGCCGTAGGATGCTGGCCGTGTCGAGTCCGTCGTACAGAAATCGAGTCAGCGCGTCCTGGAACTCTCTGCCGGCCTTGAGGTCGCGCCCAAAGTACTTGTCCTTGAAAACGTAGCTCTGCGTCCGCACATCCCACACCTGGAGCCCGCAGACACGCACGCCGAGCTCCCGCGACGTCGTCCGTGCGCATTTGCCCTGCTGCGACTTTTGTTTCTTGGGCGTCGCCTCCACGCCGTACTGTCGCGTGCCCATCTTGAGATCCATGATGCACGGCCGCTTCATGCCGGCCGTAAGATCTTCCAGCAGCAGGAAGAATTCAGCCCGCGAATCGCTCTGGCCCTGCGTCTGCGCTTCTTTGGGATTGACCGGACGCGGGATCTTGCGGAACTCTTGCGGCGACGTAGACATGGCGGGGTCGTCGACAGCTTGTTCTTGCTCTTGCTCTTCCGTGACCTCGGGCTCGGGCTCATCAAGCGCAGCCCCGTTCGCTACAGATCTCTCCAACTCGGCATGTTCGTGTCCGTTTTCGAAGCCATTGGCCGCCGATATCTCTTGCCTCAGGTCATTCAGGTGCTCCGGTACATCTCTGGCGCCGTCGCTGTTGTTTCGACCGGCCGTCTGGTCTGCTGGCTCCCAGTACTTCAGATGACCTCTCGACTCCGTGACTGTCTTAGGCTTGCGGCGCAAGGCGCTGCCCGAGTAGCGACGCTTCTTCTTATCGGCGATGATCCTGTCCGCCAGCGTCTCTGGCTCTGGCGCGCTTGTGCCCGTCACCTCCTCCACATCGTCCGTATCTGCCTCTTCGCCATCCGTTGCGACAACCTCTGTCTGTGGCCCCAAATCGCTGCGACTCTGGGCGGGCATCGGCGGTGGCGAAGGAGCTCGCGTCATGGCAGACAGGGGCGACGAAGGTTGATCGCTGGACTGCCCGTTCTCTTGTTGGTAACGACCCAGCATGCCCGAGTCGGACGATGCAGGTCGTAGCTTCTGGTGCATGCGCAAGGGAATGCCACGCTGGTGTGGGCGTCGATGCTTGTGAACCGGGATCGGTTGCTTGAGAAACACGTCATTGAACACCTCGTTGCGCAGGCGCTTGTTGACGGTCGTTGCCCCCCAGCTGTTGGCATGTCTGTCGTCAAGGGACGGCCGCTCGGGCGAAGCCGACTTGGCGGCCTCAGGGGTGTTGGGTGCAGCGACGGAGCTGCTGCGAGATCTTACGAGGTCGGGCGGCGGCGACGGTTGGAGGAGGTTCCGGGGCAGAATATGCCTGTTGTCGTCAAAGGTAACTGTCGGAATGGGAATCGACGCGCCGGCTAGAGATTGGCTAACGATTCGTCGGTGCTCCTGGCCGGGTTTGACTTCAGCGTCGTCCTTCAAGGCTTCCACGGTAGTGCCATCACCAGCAACCTTGAGCCCGTTCTCGCCTGTTGCTCGGCGCACCAGGGCTGATGCAGCATCGTCTCTTTTGTGCACCGACTTCCTCCGGGGCTGCTTGTGAAAGGTCACATTGAGCACACCGATGTACCTGTGGTTATGTTAGTGACAAATGACAACGGCACGCAGCCCACTGCTCTGGACATACCGCGGCAAGAAGGTCAGCAGGTCACGATGGTGCTGCTCGACCTTTTCGTAAAACTCGTTCTCCCTGTTGTTGAGCTGCTTGCAGACTGCTCTACGAGAGAAGCGCCAGAGGGTGGTGTGCCCGCCCACCTGGTGCTTGTAGGGAATGAGTTCTATTGCCTCCTTGGGCGCTAGCTGATCGACCTCGGGCTGTTCCTCACTAGGGGGCTCGCTGATGACCTCCTCATCTCCCGTCTTGGCGGCTGGAGTCACTACCTCTGGCACGTCTTCGACGACACGCTCGTCCAGCCTGTCCAAGTTTACCTCACGCAGCGGTGCCTGAGGCTCTGGCACGCGCTTCGAGGTCGACTGCTCCTTGGCGACCACCCTCTCCGGCCCAGACGTATCGTCATCAACCTCGAGTTCTGGTTCATCCGCCTTCACAAGCCAATCTTTCCTCGATGTGGTCCTCGTGCCCATTGGCTGTCTGGGCTTTGCGACATCTTTATCCGTGTCACTCGATTCGTCCGGCGCCTTGTGAGGCACGAACACGGCGGAGGATATCTTCTCCTCACCCGACTCGTCGCCCTCCTCGTGGCTATCTCCGACCTCGGTGCTGTCGCCAGAACCGCGGCGGTCAGCCACAAAACATGGCTGCTCGGCGAGGTCGTCGTCAATTTTGTCGTGCGTTGTGGGCGGTGTAGTCGGATCGGCGTCTTTAGGTCTCCCCGTGCGCGAGTCGACACTTTCGTCAAAGATTTGTCCATGTGTCTTTCTAAGACCAAAATAATCTTGCGGTGGCGATTCGCTCAGTACTGGATTGTCCGGTGTGTCGATGGGAAAAGTTCGGGCGCGCGGTAATTTGCGCGCCAACGTATCGTCGTGCGAGGCTGCCCTCGGTGACAGGGTTGCGACCGGGGGCTTCGCAAAGTCTTCAACAGCAATGTCTGCCGTCAATGGCACAGGAGGTGGCTCTTCACGACTGGGCGATGGTTTATCGCGAAGCGCCCCTCGCACATCCTTGCGACGGCCCTTCTCCTCTTTGGGAAGTCCCTCTCGGAAAAAGCGCAGACTGTAACTGGCCTTGCGACTGCGGCCGTTGGGCTCGGCACCCATCATGGCCTCGGTGACCGACTTTTCGACCTGGCCGTCCTCTCCACCGTCGCCCGCCTCGCCCGTGTGACCAATGGACCATATCTTCTCGGGGCCTTTCTGGAGGCGGTGGTCGGTCTTTCGTGTCGTCGATCGCAGGTCGGCCAGGACATCTTCCTTTTCCAGCCTGGCATCAAGGTACGTGGCGGGTGGCGTGGCCGAGCCTTCGGGAGAGGTCGAGTGAGATTGAGCGCGTGTTGTCTTGGGTGTCTCGATAGCTGTTGGCGGCGTGGCGTGAACGCGCTCGAGGGAGGAGCATCTAACTCGGTTCCCCTTGAGGAACTCGCGGTGGTCGAGCAGCATGGCCCGGACGCCGTCGAAGCCGGAGATATCGTAACTGGTCGACATGGTGTTGGTGTCAGGTGGCGGCAGCACCATGGTGTTGGAGCCGGTCGTCGACGAAGGCGCCATCATGACAGCTGAGGAAGCGCTCTCTGATGTTACACCGTCGATGGGAGGCACATTGTCGGTTCTGTCGTCGAGAGGTGTGTCGTGTTCGGGGGCGAGGGCAGGTGGCGGTAGGGTCGAGGTGGTGGAGTCGGTTATCGTGGATGTGGACGTTCGTGATGGTGTTGGGCGGAGATGGGGGGAGGTTGTCGAGGGTTGTGTGTTGGTGGTGTTGGTGATGGAAGGGCTGATGCCACGGGCAGAAGCGAGGGCCTGTGAAAGCAACGACGGGCCGGCCTGCCTCGGCGGGAGGACAGGGCTCCGGGACTTCTTATCAAGGGCGGCGCCATGGTGACTGGGGGGGTCGAACCGGGGGTCTGGGAGATCTGGGAGGCCTGTCTCTGGATAGGCACCAGGGGGTGGGCCAGCCGCTGTGTGTTCCGGCTGGCTCAGTTGGGTAGCAATGGGAGTGACGGCCCCTGAGCTCAAGTCTCTGAATGTGTCTGGGTCTGTGCCTGCGCCAGTGCCTGTGCCAGTGCCTGTGCCTGCGGCTGCATTCACATCGGACGTGGAGGGAGGGGGAGGAGGACCAAGAGAAGGAGAAGGAGGAGAGATGATGGTGGGCAACGGGTTGTTGCCAGGGCCCGACAGGTGGGTGGGCGTTGGTGCGGTTGCTTCTCCTGCTCGATCTGGTTCTGCTTCTGGCGCAATGCTGCTCACAGGGGCAGGGCGTGCGGCATTTTCGTTGTCGCGCAGCGTGCTGGACATGAGGAGAACATTGGGCGAGGGCGAGGAGGGTGTGGGAGGATTGAATCGCGGCGGCGTCGTGGGATTTTTTTCGTGGTTGGAAAGGGCGTGCGGTGAGTTGAGGCTCCTTGTTGCCGATGATCTGGTCGTGTCGTGTCGTGTCGTGGAGGAAGTGTGGGAATTGAGTGGGTGGGATTCGCTTTTGGGGCAGGAAGGCACTCTGGGTCCCGAAGCGCAGGGCCGGACCTGCCCCGGCAGGGGGGGTGGGGGAAGGGAGCCATGGCCAGGTCTGGGGGGGGGCAGGGGAGTCCGAAGTCACTGCCAGCTGCCAAAGTCCCACATTGCGACTCACAATGTCCAATGAATTACGACTAGCGGTGGAGAGGGGGCCGTGACTGGAGCGGATTCAGGTCTCCTTTGCCACTGTGCGTTCCTCTCCCTACCTCTACGGATGACCTACTGCCAGCCACCCAATCCACTGGAGCCCGCCCAGACCTTCGGACCCAGCCTGCTGTTTGTTTCTGCTACTGCCCACCCTAGGAAGAGGGGCTTGTGTAGCGACTTCTATGACGCACTGTGACCGTCCAGGTGTCTCCAGCCCACCACGTGCAGCAACTGGCACCTGTCGCTGCAGCAAGAGGCAGCATTCAGGTACCTAACGTACCGTACCTAGGTAGGTAGGTACGTACAGTAGGTGCCCTGACTGGTCATGATCGATGATGGAATCGTGACTCGGAATTAGGTACCCAACAACCAGTCCCTTTTGCTGCTTTGTGTTGCCCTTGACATAGGAACCCAATGTACGCAATTAATGTCTGCTGCCGTCATGTCCACTCAGAAGCAACACAGACTCTGGATGGCCATTCCATTGGTCACCATGACACATGCCGTCATCGCCTGGTCTGGCTCTCGCACCACCCTTTTCCTTCTTGATGGATTGGTAAAACCCAGAACACCAGCACCATACCAGCATCACGGATGAGCCCCGGTGCTCAATGCACAATACCTGGCTGGGAAGGGCTTGAAACTTGAAAGCACCCATGAACCAATTCGGAATTTGGTTCTCTCCCACTTGTGCCGAGGTCAGGACAAACCAGCCCCCCATGGCTTCGCCCAACAATTTGGCTTTGCCCTGCCACAGGGCAGCCCGTGAATCCCGGGCAGCTTACCTTAGTTAGAGGCACCCCGGATTGTCTAGATTGACGAGGAACAAGGTTCAAACGACGGTGTACCGCCTCACCTGTTTCTGCTCGGACGTCACACTGCCTCCCAGAGGACCACGTTGCCAGAGACTCCAACCCGAGAGGAAGCTGGTTCCTCAGGTAATGTCAGGTAGGTCCGCAGACCAACCGGGTAGCAAGAAGAAATTACGTCAAAGCCTGGATGGATTGAGTATCTCGAGACGAACACACATGAGATGCGAACGGCAGACGGAAGATAAACGAAAAGACGACCAAAAATGATTTGGGACGTTCCATGCTGGGTGCTCATCACTTCATGTTGCTTCTCTCACGACATGCTTGCATCTGCATGCCGGTTACCCTCCCCCCTCTCCTCCCTGCTGGCCTTCATGATGAATCACATCCAAGCGAGTCGCTTCAACTCAAGCAAGTTTCGCCGAGCACCACGATATGCATGACAGACACCACACCCACTCTTTTGTCGACGATGAGTGAGATGGCCAAGCCATTCAGTGACTGATAAACTGCCAACGCATCTCACATACCAAGGAGCATCAGCAGAGCATCGTGGGCCGCCTGAGTCCCGTCATTTTCCCCGGCCGATGCTTTACATGAATGTTGAATGTTCCACCGCATCATCACCCAAGAAAACAACCGACGGCGAGCGTCCAATTGGCCCCCTTTCCGTCTCGCCCGTTTTGATAATACCATCCTCACAGTCCACGACCACTCACTGCTCGCCCCGTCCCTCCATCAATGTACTCCCTGTAATAACCGGTGAAAATCGCCTGTCGACTTCTTCTTCTTCTTTTTTTTTCTTGGCCGCGAACGTCAATATTCGTTCCTGATATTGCCCCGTCTATGTACTTGGAGAGTGTATAGGTAGAGGGACGACGGGACTGTCAGTGAGACTGCCAAATCACCCACCTCTCAATCGGGCGTCGTTGATCGAACACCCCGGGAACCCCTCGATGCCAAGCGCCCGCACCCTTCCCGGATCCGTGAGCACGGCGCAGGGGCACGCTCGCCAATCATCCGACAACGTGCTTGTTGCTGGCAGAATGTGGAACTCCTCACGCCGAAACACAATCACCTCCTCTCAAGCTATCTTCTGTACACCCACCCCTTCCGTACCACATCGTATCGTGTCAATTGTTCTCATTCCGTCCCAGACTCCCATTACTCTTCTCGAAACACTTGCATACGTCCCGGTGACAGGCGGCCTCTCGGGTGCAGGCGCGCTCTCTCTCTCTGTCTCACACACACACACACACATCCACAGTAGACACCTCCCATCCGTCAATCAAACCTCTGCGGCATATTTCCCCGCTTGACAGTCATCGCAACGGGACTGCCCTCCCGCAGCATGCACAACCACCCAGCCCACCCCCTCCCTTTTCCTGACGTACCAAGTGCATGTCTTATCTGACCCAATCGCTTGACATCGGTCAAAGTGCCCGCCGCGAGGGCTGGAACATCTGCAGATAAGCTTCATTGTAGACGTGAGACCCCAAGAGACAAGAGACCGCGCAAAGCGCTGCGGGGGAAGGGAGGTCCAGGGCAGGGGCAGAATTTGAGACACTTCTGTCAAGCTACGAGCCCATCGCTGACTGATGAGCTGGATCAAAGTCGCAGCCAAGAAATCCGTACACCGCTCACGACGTGTTTATTTCGATCGCCATTGGATCCGTCCCGGTTACGAGATGATGTGAAATGTCGCCAACCTGCTGCTTGTCACGATGAGCTGCTTGACCGCAAGACATGGAATAATCTCCCTGCCCTCCCTTGCCCAAGGAGAGAAATAGAGAGCACGAGAGAAACAAAAAGAATGTGCTGATCTCGGGTTACACACCCTCTGACATCGGGCCGCCTAACTCCAAGGAGCCAATACTGCAGAGGATCCAGCTCACCGCTTCGTGGCATGGCAGTTTTCAGCCGCAGCCGAGGGTGTGTGGCTGAACCAGGTGATCAACGGGTACATGTGCGACTACGAACGACTTTAACGTCACTGACAGCATTTGTACGAAGTCGCGACTTGGGTTGAGAGCTCCTGTTGGAATTTATGAAACTAAGGTACTGTAAACATGTTGTCGTTGTGCCGTGGCCATAGAGGAACCCGCCCGGCTGTGTCCTGAGACCCCATTGATTATCATCGCCCAAACTCCGCGCTGAAAAAAAAAAACCTCTTGCTGATCCTCCCAAAACAATAAGAAAAGAAAAGGTGGCTAAAGAATAGCAATGTCATGGTATAGTACGACACGTAGTGGAATCAGTCGTCCCAAACGCCAGCGTCGAAACTCGCAACCGCCGAAAAGGGGTTGCGGTTCTCCTGGTCGACCACCGGCTTCGTTTCCGCCTTGGCCTGCTTCACGTCGGCCTCGACGTCCATGGCATCGATAAAGGAGTCCAGATTCATCAGCACGTCAGCGACATCATCGCCGCTGTCCGAACCGTTATCCTCCATGTGACCTGTCGTGTGATCATCGTGCAGCTCTGCAACATCGCTGCTTGCCGTGCGTGTTCCTGGGCCCTGGTGGCCGAGCTCATCTGCGATGACAAACGCCTCAGCCATGGCCATGGGCGACGGACTTCGCAGGACCTGCTGTGATGCCGTGGGCAGGATGCGATGCCTGTGACCTTTGACCGTCTTCTTGACGACGGAGAAGTGTTTGTAGAAAGGATCGATCTGGCTCGTCGGCAGGTCGTCGAGCGCCTGTTCTGGTGGGGGAGACGCAGCCCGGCGCGCCGTGGTAGACGTCTCGTCGGCTCGGCTGCTGGCGTCTGCAGACTCGTACGGCAGGATTCCCCAAGAAACACGCTTGTTGGAACGCGGAGAGCTGCCCCATGGGTTGATGTTCGCGTCCAGAAGGATGCTCTGCGTGCTGGGCAAGTGGCCGCCGGAAATCCTTGCGTTGCGTGACTTGCGCCGGGCCGGCTGCTCAGGCGACGTGAAGTCGGCAAAAGGCTTCAGCGTAAACGTCGCAGTCGGCAGAACCGGCTCTTCCTGCCTGTGAAGCGGCGTCGAGGGCGCAGTGTGTAGGCTGTCTGTCTCTCCCGAGACTGTCGAATCCGCCTCCCGCTCGGTCATGTTCTGCGCTTCGTGCGTGAAAGAGCTCATGATGCTAAGACCAGCCGTTTTGAAAGCACTCATGGCGGCCTTGCGCAGTTGATCTAGTCCAGAATACGGCGTCGATGGGGTCTCTTTTGGTACCACGTCTGTGTATGCAGCGTCTATGAGGGCTGTACCTGTGTGATCTTCATCAACCTTCCAAGGGGTCTGTTGCGAACCTTGTGGAACGGGGCTTCCACCTTGAGGTAGGGCCGTAGCGCCGATTTCTTCCAAGGTGTGCGACTTGACAGTCGCTTGCATTGGCGTGACATCTCCATTCCAGGGACTTTGTTGTGAGGGAGCAATTGTTCCGCCTGAAGGGGTTTCATGACACTGCTTCAGGCAATCCAAGTCGGCCATTTCCTCGACAACCCGCTCAGTCTGAGGTGCTACCAAAGACACAGACGATTGAACCCGTTCTGAGCATTCGTCCGATGTTATAGCGTTCTCGTGTCGTTCGATGAAGGACGAGGGACCTTCTACTACCGGAAGGCCTGAATGGTCAGTGGTCAAATGGCTTTCCATGTCGCAATTCGAAAGGGCATCTGAGGCACATTCTTCTGCCTGAACAGCCGCTGAGGTGATTGCTTCGTTTGCCACCGCCAGCACGGTTGGCTGGAGTGGCACGCGTGGCCTATCGTGAGTTTCTGGCGGTTGGTCCGACTCCTCGCTCTTTTCCGAAGCTGTGGTTTCTTCCAATGTTTGTTCAGGCTCTTCTTTGTCCATACACATAGTCTCATCATTCTCAATACTTTGTACAGCGGTCCTCTCAGGTTTCGAACATCGCTTTGCAGATTCGAGAAATGTAGACTCAACCAGAGTACTTGAGTCGAACGCCGGCTGCGAGGATGGTATGACTTCATCAACCGAAATTGCGTCATCACACTCGCTGTCGGAGCTATTAAAGCTCACATCGTCGATAATGTTGCCCAAAGCCTGTTCTTCGTCGGGTTGTGGAAGTCTGGCTGTTTGCTGCGACGGCGACTGTTCTGCCGATGGAACCTCAGCATTGCCCTGGTCCGCCCACTCCTCCGCTGCTGATGAGAGCTCGACCACGACGTGATTATCAACAGACGGTGCGTCGTGGTCGTGCGATCCAAGGGAAGTGAAGTCCGAAATGTCGTCGGGAGCCGGGCTCAAAGGTGATGTCAGTTGCTGTGCCGGCAAAGGGCCTGGTGTGCTAGCCCTCCTCTTTGGCCTCGCGCGATATATAAAGCTGTCGTCTTGCTGAGTTTCAAACTCGGGTGCTTCGTCCTTGTCCACAACCGGCACAGTCTTCGCCGTTGGCGTCGCTGTGCCTTGTCGGATGAACCGCCGGCTGGCGTTACTCCGGATGCTTCTAGCTTCTGAAGCCTGCCGGCGGGACGAGACCTGTGACCGGGTTGACGCTGCTCGCCAGGTGCGGGGCTTCTGGGATGACTGGCTGGGTCCGGACAGTTCGTCATCTGAATCACTCTCGCCGTTGGCCTTGGCTGGCGAGGTGAGGATTCCGATTCGTGTAGGCGATTTCCTTTCCGGCGAGATGGGGTTGTCAGAATTGTGCACAATGTTGTTGTTGAGTTCGTCTTCGACATCGGCCTCAGGCGGTGGAAGAATAGGCTGATGTATATTTTGGCTCATGCCGAAGCCTTGCGCTAATACGGACGCAGTGTCAAGGTCGTCGAGGTCGTTAATGTCACCGTCAGTTCGATGGCGCTTGGGAGCTCTCCTCTTGAGCCAGCCGGGGTCCTGGGCACGTCGTTTGCGTAGGACGGTCGAGTCGAAGGAAGCTTGGCGAGGCGCCCAAAATCTGTCGATGGATGGCTTAGCCGGTGCGACCCTGCTCCTCCAGCTCTCGAGCTTGACGAGCTCATCTTCGTCAAGGTATGGGTGTTGTATAGCTCGATCTAGGCTCTCGGGACTCGGTAGGTGACAGGAAGAACTGGCATGGGCTGTGGCCTTTTGAGTGAAGGAATCTTCTATAGAGTGGCGTATCGAACGCAGCTTGGCTACGGATTGCGAGATGCCGGAGTAGGATACACCACTACCCGGTGTGTCTGAAGAGGTCGAACGACCCTTGGAGCGGCCTTTGGATTGCCAAGGATTGGTCCAACCCGATGCTTCGTCAAAGGGGCCGCGCAGGGTTGCTGATAGGATGAAGGTCTTCTTGCCCTCTAGAAACCTGACGGCGGCAGCTTCGTACTTATACTTTCGAACAGAGGGGTTGGGGTAGTCTTCGTCGTCGGATCCTTTATAGAGGGCCTCGGTGGGGTCGGCTTCGCAGTACAGGGGCTCATCGCCAATGCGACGATATCGCGGGACAGCAGCCGCCATGTCGTCAGGGCCGTTCTAGACGACCATTGACGAGCTGATTGTCGAACCGTGTCAAGGAGCATGCGGCTAGGGCTGTGTCAAGTGCAACGACAGAGTCAAAAGGGGCACATGGATGGAATGTCGCAAACAGCATGAGGCCGCAACAGGGGTTCGAAAGGTGAGGCATGCAACCCAGATCGTGGTGGAAGGAGATGCAACCACGACGCCAGTGCACGTTCACGGGGAGACGCGCGCCCCGCGTCCACACGTGACAGCGCGTTTAATAGGCTTCCACCACAGTTCGGTGAGGCCCCGGTGAGCTCCTTCTGACAGCCCCTTGCCCCCACACGAGGTAGGATTGTTGACGCAGCAACGGCACCCCTGCCCCCAATCACCAGCGACTTCTTGTTTATCCCACCTTCACGTCACAAGCCGCCAGGACCAGGCGCATCCCTCAACCGTCTTCATTTCTTGTCACATTCGCGTGCCAGAGCTTCACTGCAGATTGCAGATTGCAGATTTTCCGTGTTGCGCAGCGGCAGCGTGGCGTCGATACTAACCAGCAGCACTTCTCGATACTTCAGTTCTTTGCCCAGCAGTTGTTTTTTTTAGATCTGCATTGGCTGTATTGACGCGCACTCGGCACTATCTGGATCAGTTCTTTTTTCTCCTACTCGACTTCCACAATACCACGACGCGACTCCAAGTCGCTTGACACGCTCTCTGACTACTACGACGACACGCGAAACGATCCTCATGACCAAATTATAACCGACATCTCCATCTTCTCTCTCTCTCAACAGCCATGGCGCACGCGTGGCTCGACTCTCTCTCCGAGGACTGGCCCTCGCAACTGGGCTCAGATGCCTCGCCGCCCCCTCAACTCCCTCCACTCAATTCGAACGAGAACAGCGCGGTTGCCAATGGAAGGGCACCTCCTAGCAGGCTGCCACTGCCCATGAAGACGGCGCCAACAGCCAATGCCAATGACGGCAGCTTCAATATCCTCAGCGAGCGTAGCACCAACGAGAGGAATCTTCCCTCCTCCGCGCGCAAACCCTCCAAACTCCCCAATGAGATCGACGCCGGTCCCGAGAGCCGCTATGCGAGCCGAACGTTCTCTGCCTCGACCACCGGGTCTGTGGTCCATAACACGGTAAACCACCGATCGACAAGCGCATCACCCAACAAAAAGGGCCACACGCCAGAATGGAAGCGACGTCTAGTCTATGGGGAGGTGCCCTACGGCGAGCAGCAAGATCTTTTCCAATCCGCGGCCACCGGGCTAGAGAATATGTTTAAGCCACCCCCACCACCACAAGAAGGCTCTGTCGTCGACGACAGTCGACAACACTCGGGCATGCCTTCCAGCCCACCTATTTATCGCCCGGCCGAACCTGCTACACCGGTATATGACGACGATGACGACGATGAAGGCAGCGTTGTGCATGCGATGGAGGGTAGTCCCAGCCCCAGCCCACGGAAGCCTCGAGAAATGACATACAAAATGGTCGACGAGTCGTATGATGCGGGCAGTCTCGACAGCTATAGCACACAAGGACACAGTCAAGAGGCTGCTGACTCGATAGCTGAAGAGAGCCTATCGGTGCGCGTAGCATCTGCCAACGGTCTTGCGCCACCGACCGATGCGTCAAGGAAAACCAGCGGACAGAGCGTTGTTCGTAATGAGGACTTCAGCCCCATCGTGCTCACGAAGCAGGTCGGCAATGTCGGCCAGGTTGACTTTGCACCTGTCGAAGTACCGGCCGATCAGCTAAAGAATCGTTTGGAAAAACTGCGCATCAACCAGATGCTGCTGGACTCGTACGCCGAGGGAGAGCTCGACTTCAGCGACCTGCAAGAGGAAGGCATCTCGGGAGGTCCCGAAGACACTGACGAATTTGCGCGACAGGGTGGTTTCTTGAACACTCGGCGTGGCGGCCGATCTGCTGAGGGATCTTTCCGACATCGCCTGCTCAGCCCAGGCATGTCTGGCGACACGTCTGACATGCTCCCGGAGGACTCGCTTCAAGCTAGCACCCCCAAGCAATTCCCCACCATCCGCATCAACGAGGAAGGCTTTGGCAGCCATCGTTTCGCCTCTGAGACGCCGCCTCAGCTTCGCGCGCCCTTTCCAAGTCCCGAGAAACAGGACACCAACCCTCAGTCCAACGGCGGAAGCCCGCTGAAGCTCTTCGGGCCATACGACACGTTCACTAACCAGACTCTTCTACGCCGCATCAGCCAGTTTGAAGACAACTCGTCAAACGAATCCAGGCTATCTGAGGAACAGGGAGAAGAAATGCAGGCTTATAGCCAGAGTCTGGCGGCACCCTCCAGCCCGCCACGACCCAAACCCTCCCAATTCATGCCAAGCGCTCGATCGGTCAGTCAGTTCGGCCGAGGCGATTTGCAGGGTTATCAGTTCGGCGATGTGTCACTCCGATCTGATGGCGCAACCTCGGAAGAGGATGAAAGCCATGTCAGTGTGCCTGCAACATCTAGCCGCAACATGAAGTTTGATCTCGAGCCTACATCTCCACAAGGCGATGTACCCCTCATCATCCCAAACAAACGGCGGCAACAGGGCGTGACGCCATCGTCCTCGAGAAACAACAGAACAGTTTCCTTTTCCAGTCGCGTCAGTGTTCAGTACCACGACAGCAGCAGGCCCAGCAGCAGACCGGGCCCACCGGTGCTGGCAACGCCCAAGCGAGACAGCGGCTCCGAAGGCAAGCGGCCTCGGACGTCACCCACCAAGGATCCAACCCCCAAGCGAAGACGTACTCTCCACAAGTCCGATGTAGCCTACGGCCACGAGCAGCTCGCCGCGCTTGAAACGGTGCAGGATTCGCATTGGTACATGCAATCCATGATGGGCAAGCGCCAGGAGGTTCGTTCAGGCGGATTCCAGCAGCTGGCCCACCCTGACGTCCTCGCCGCCCGACAGATGAGCCGGCCACGCACGCCAACGCCTAGTCAGCGATCCTCGGTGCAGCGTGAAAGACACCCGAGCTCTGAAATCCAACCTCAGGAGCAGTCACAGTCGCAGTCGCAATATTCCCCAAAGCGCAGCTCGCAGCTGGCGAATGGCTCGATGGAACGGAACGAAAGCACCGAAACTGATCGCAAGCCATCCATCAAGACGCAGGACTTTGTCGAGCAGGCTGGTGCCATCATGGCGATGATTCGCAGCGGAATCAAACCACCCAATGGACTCGACAGCGTGGAGGAGTCAGAGGAGGGCGATTATGCCAGCCCAAGCCCTGATATCCAGGACGTGTCGTTTGAGGAGTCGACGAGGGAACCTCTTTCCCGGCCACCAAGCCGCGACGGCAAGCCGGTGACAAGAGTTCCGCCCCGCCAGGAGAACCCCGAGGTGCTGGATTACCTGAAGAAATATCAGGAGCTCAGTGACATGGGCGATGTCATCTCCTCATCTCTGCGGTCTATGGGTCTGGCCCAGGATGCTATCCGTGCCGCTCAAGAAGTGGAGAAGATGGTTCAAGCGGGCCAGGACGTTTCCTATCCCGACGATCTGGATTCTTTGGAAGACATCATCAGTGACCCGCCTAATATTCGAATCAGCCGCGGACCAGCCGCCGACCAAAACGCAATCGGACCAGACTACCCGTCCAACATCTCGGATGGCTCAACAAAAAGCATCCCCACCGGGTCGTCACGGGGTTCTGAGTCCAAGAAGACCATTCTGCCAGCGAGCGTCGTTCACCTGCTTCCCGAGTCTGTCGCGGGCATGTATCTCGACAAACAGCAAAATATCTGGGTCAAGCGCAGGGCTGAGTCTGTCCGCATCCACAACATTCTGCCTTCCGAAGACAGCGAGGATGACCCGTTTGCGAGCATCCCCGACCTGACCGTTGACATGACGAGGGAGATGGAGAACCTGCGTCTGAATCCCTCACAGCAAACCCTCAGTGGCGACGAGAACGAGTCCTCTGGAGACTATTCACGCACGCCGAGCAGCCAGCGCAGCAAGAGCTACGTCACCCTGTCCCCGAACGGTGCGATACCTGAGGGTATGTCTCCCCAGGCGCAAGAGGAGCTCACGAAGCTCGAGAGCATGGTCAACAGCCCAACTAGCGATCGCGACGACTACGAGGAGGAGATGCGCGTCGAAGACCGCAACCGCGTGTCCCCGTCGAGGAAGAACCTGACCATTTCCTTCTCTTCGCCTATTGCATCCATCATTCACGACGTGGTTCCCGAGGACATTGATAGACTCGAGGACGACACGGGTAGCATCTCGCATGCCGACGGTGGATCATGGTCTGAGCAACAGACCGATAACCAGTATCGCAGTCTCACGAAGAATGCGCGCAAGAAGTTGCTGGCTCGGTCCAAAAACGGCACGCGGAGGGCGTCTCGAAACCTCGCGGTTCAAGGACAGGCCTTTACGCCACGTCCAGTGTCTCGCATCGACGAACAGGATGAAGACAGCCAGAACGAGCGCGCCCACGCCGAGAGCAGGCAAATCAGCATCCTCGCTGATGCAAGCGTTGTCAGCCACCAGGATCGCCAGACAAGCCTCAGCTTCGTAGTGTCGACACCCGCCGCTCACCACGGTGCCGGAGCCATCATCAGCCAAAACGTCGGCAACCTGTCTCTCAGCCCTCTGTCCGAGTTCACGATGAACAACCAGGACCAATCGTTCGGACTGGAGGTTAGCTACCTGGTGCAGGACCGACACTTGGTCACAGGCGATGGTTCTAAGAAAGTGCTGTCCATGACGGTCCGCGACCTTGTCGACCGACTGACCGAGGTGGAGCCTTTCGAGGCCAACTGGGACGACTTTGTGGAACTGGACGTCAGCGACAAACGCTTATCGAGCCTGCATATGCTGGATGAGTTTTGCGGGCGACTGGTGTCACTGGACGCCTCGACCAACGCACTGTCACATCTTGATGGCGTGCCCTCGACGGTTCGCCACCTCAAGGCGTCCAGCAACCTGTTGACGGAGCTGACTTCTTGGGACCATCTGTCAAATCTACAGTACATTGACGTGTCAAACAATGAGCTGCGCAGCCTGGCTGGCCTCAACAATCTCGTTCACCTGCGAGGCGTCCGCGCGGATAACAATAAGCTGACATCGCTGGACGGCTTCCACTTCCACGACGGGCTCCTGTCGCTGCGAGCGCGGGACAACCTGATCGAGGAGCTCGATTTTGACGGCACCAAGCTTGACCGGTTGGCAGAGCTGGACCTGTGCGGCAACAAGATCCAGTCGATTCGCAACCTGGGACAACTCCCGTCGCTGGAGACTCTCAAGGTGCAGCGCAACCAGCTTGTGGACTTACACAACGAAGGACCACTGCCATGCCTTCGACACCTTGACATTGGGGACAACAATGTGACATCGCTCGACATCAGCTCTATGCCTTGCCTGCGCGTTCTGCACGCTGATAGGAACCGCATTAGCAGAATCACTGGCTTCGCGCGTGCAAGGTATCTAGACAGCATATCGCTCAGAGAGCAGCGCGGCGACGAGCCTCTCGGGCTAGCGTTCCTGTCCGCCGCCTATGAGGTGCGCAAGCTTTTCCTGTCGGGCAACTACATTGGTCAATTCGAGCCGCAGGTCGATTTCCTCAATCTGCAGCTTCTTGAGCTGGCAAACTGCGGGCTGCAGTCACTCCCGGAGAATCTCGGTCAGCTGATGCCGAACTTGCGATCGCTGAACCTCAATTTCAACGCCATTGCGGACATCAGCCCGCTGCGATTCATTCCGCGGTTGAAGAAGCTGCTCATGGCGGGCAACCGACTGGCCAACTCGACGCAAGTCACGGAGGTGGTGACCGAGTTCCCGCACCTCAGCAAGCTGGATCTGCGGGACAACCCGATGACACAGGGCTTCTACGCGCCACTGCAAGGCATGGTGCCTGTGGATCGCACGGGGTATGTGGATCCTTTTATGCTGCCCGAGGCAGATGCCGAGCGGGACGCACTTTTCGCGGGCCGACTGGACCAAGCGACACGACTGCGGCGGCGTCTGTACCAGGTGGTGTTTGTCGGGTGCTGCGCTCGGCTGAAAGAGCTGGACGGGCTGCCCGTCAAGCGCAGGGAGGCGCTGGCCAGGGATGCAGCGTACGAGATGCTAGTGAAGGAGGGTCTCCTACCGGGGCAGCAGCAGTCCGAAGAAACGGGGGCTTTGGAGCCGAGGCGCAAGGGTGGGGAGCAGCAAGCCAAACCGCACGAGCAAGCAGAGGCTGCAAAATGCAGCGATGACAGCAGTCGGTGGAATGCGGAAGACAGCTTTGCCTGAGTGGCGTACCTAGGCCTGTTCAGGGGTCGTTAGCATGATGGCGCCAGGGTGTTTCTGCTTTTTTCTTTCTCCTTCTCTTTCTCTTCCTCCCTTCCCCTTCCAAGCTCCCTGACTTTGCCTTCGGGGACTAGGCGGGCGATGACTGGTGGGACGGTTGTACAACACAGAAAATAAAGGGGGGCAGGATGCTCCAATTGGGGAGTCTCGGCGTGGCGTTGGAATTTTGGGCATGCCAGGATGTGGATGGCTCCGAGGAGGCGGACATGACGAGTCAGGGTTAATGAGTTCATGCATCGAATTTTCTGGTAGTGTATGAGCAGAGTCACACGTTTGTTTGCTGGAGTGTTGCTCCCTGTCGTCCTGGATTGATTTGTGTGATTGATGTGTGTGAGGGGGTTCGAGGATCAATGTGGAATGGTGTCTTCTGGTTCCCGAAGAGGACAAAGGATGGCGTGCGGGTGCAGCCGCGCCGGCCGGGCAGAAGCAGGGGATCAGCGACCTTGATAGCTTGGGCGGGCCCTCCACGTCCTAATTCCTCTTTCGTCTCTTGCTGCTCGTCGAAGGGGCGGAATCAAATCTCTCGTGATGGAGATGCACGGAATGGTAATGGATGGAGTGGGGTGTGTGGTAGATGAAGTGAGGAAGGGAGGAGGAGGACGAAATATGATGTGGCCGTGATTTCATCAAAGGGAAGGTAGGGAGGAAGGGAAGGGAAGCTCGGTGCCAGTACCTACCAGCCTAAGGTAGATACTTAGGTAAGGTAGGTAGGTAGGTACTTAGTGTGAGCCCTGAACGCCTGGACCACTGTCTCTGTCGGGAAGAGGAAGTTGCGGCCGCGCAAGTGGTCCATGCTTGCCCACTGAACTGCACTGCTCTTGCCCTGGTCACGTCTTTTCTCGGTTGCTCTGTCCCCCTGTAATTTCTGCTGCAGCCTTGCTGCCATCTGCATGAACAACCTTGTCTGGATTGCCGTCCAAACCTAACCTAACCCAAGCCCCGAGCCCAATCCCAAATCCCCATCCCATTTACCCCCCAATCATCATAGGGGAATCACCACCATCAACGCCTCCTCTTCTTGCCTTCTTGGCTGCAGCTGCATCACCACCAAGTACTGAACTCTCTTGAATTTTCGTTCCCTTCTTTCTTCAAGATTGCGCTCTATCAAGACGGCGCCCGTCAGATCATGAAGAACAAGGCGCTTGCCGCCGCCCGCCTCTCACAATGGACGACGACGCCTCGACCCCAACGCCAGCCCGAGCCACGCCTACGATGCCAGCAGTAGCAGTCGCAGCAGCGTCACCACGAACAAGAACACCGACACCTCCATCACTCCCTCTCGAGCGCTCCATATCCCAGCGCAGCGTCAGCGTCGCGTCGATACGCAGCAGCAGTCGGTCCACGACCCTCCGGACCCGCTCAAAGCGCCTTCCGTCCCACGTCTCGAGCTCGGCCAGCTCCATCATCGCCGCCGACGACAAGTCTCTGACCAGCTTCCCCTCGCTTTCGCCCGAGTCGCCCAAACCAGTGCGACCTTTCGCAGACCAGGAGTCTAATACCTATGCTGGCGTGCCGCGCACCGCGTCAGGCGCCGTGTCTGTTGCCGAGTCGGATGCGCCTTTGAGCCTACCCGATGATACCTTGACGGAGGTCGACGTGACGGCGGCGCCGCCAGCGCTACCGGCGAGGCCATCGCAGTCTGCGCGCTCTGCCCTCTTTGAGGACTCGCCTATCGCATCGCAGAAAATACCTGGCGCGCTCCATACGGCCGATGACGAGCACCTCGATCGTCTTGTCAAGCGACATGGGGCGAAGGAGCTGGTACGCATGATTGCCACCGATCTGGCGCACCGAGATGCGCAGATTGCCCTCCTGCGAAGAAAAGCCGACGAAAGGGAGAGAGCTCTGCGAAAGATCATATTGGAATGTGGTTTGTCGAATCTAGAGCTGGAAACGAAACTGAGGGCCGTCGAAACAGAAAACAAAGCAAGCAGACCAAGCAACCACCGAGCCGAGAGCGGCTTGTCCGACCTCATGAGCGATGCCATGCAGGATACCGTGACTCAGAACGTATATGGCCAGACCGATACTGAGGGGACCATACGGGCAACGAGCCTCTCCCTGGCCTCCAACGCCGATCCGGGCACCAACAAGGGCACCACTCGCGGGTGGAAGGACTTCCTCTGGGGTGGTAGCAAGAGGGGAAGCGTTGCCAGCAGCATCAACGGCGACGATCCGCGATCCAAGACGATTGTTCGCACGCAGTCCCATGCTGACCGCAGGCCTGGACTCCAGGATGATCTCTTCAACCCACCCCCGGACACGACCTCTCTCCGAAGCGCGAGCAGAGCCTCCAGCATCAGCTCCGTTGCGCCTTCGCCCCGCAAGCCGTCAGGTGTCACGGCCAGCCTCCTCAGGCTCGTCGCTGGCGGTGCCATGGCTGGGCGCGATGTTGACCCCATCAGGGGCCGTTCGAACAGCGCGACGCACGCACGCCAGGCCCGGGCCTCGTCCTCTGCCAGCGGGCGCACCACCGGATCGAGCCGTGCAGTATCGAACCAGAGCAACCCTAAGGCCCTCATGGCCATGCAACGCGCCATACCAGCGGGCTTGGGCGGTTCCGCCACCGTGAGAGCTCCTCCCCAAGAACGCTGGGACACCATGGTCGGCAGTCCACCGAACGTTACGAGTCGTCAGGAGAGCTACGGGCCTGTAGAGATGGATGCCATCCTGCCCCCCGAGACGCAGCCCCCGACTCTCAACGTGCTGAACAGCAATCACCTCAATGGTGAGCTCCTGACTGATCGTTTTGGCTTCATCTACGATCAACGCAGAAAGAAGCGCCAGCGCGAGGCCAACAAGCCGCCTCGTCGCCATAGCAAGAGAGCCAGTCTTACCGAGATGCTTACCAACGGTCGCCCCGTCATCTCACAACCGATGGATGAACCTAGCATTGCAGAAGAACGACCCGACAGTCCTTCGTCGACTGAGGAGCCTGCCGAGGACCGGCCAAGGAAGTGGCAGGATTATTTGAAAATGGCGACCTTCCCGACTGAACTTCTATCTCACACGCCAGCCCTGAGCGCTTCATCTCTGGAGGTGCTCGAAAGCTATGACCAGCCCAAGGCTTCCCCAGGCCTCATTGCGGACGAGAGGGGCTTCGTCCCTGCTGCAGCGAGCACCACCACATCCGTGGCTGACTTGGAGGCCGTACCGCCCGAGACCGAGGGCGGAACGAGTGTGATCGAAGATGCTGAGCCCGTGAAACTACTTCTCCAGCATCAAAACGAACTTCACGATAGGTTGCAGCGCGAGCGGACGCCCCGTTGGAACGAATTTCTTCGCAAGGTCCGCGTCGAACGGCAGCGCGAAAGGGAGGCGGCCACGGCGGCAGCCAATGCGGCAGCCGAAGCCCGATATGAGCGTCCCTCCGTGATCCTGCCCGAGGCTGCTCTGGCTGACGGCGAGCTCATTGGGATCACAGGTCTCGGGACCAAAGGCAAGGTCGGTCGCGCCAAGAGGCTTGAGTTCCGCAATCTCGTCTTTGGCGGCATACCTGTAGCCATACGCCCCAAGGTTTGGTTTGAGTGCTCAGGCGCGGCACACCTTCGGGTGCCGGGTTACTACCAAGATTTGGTCGCAAGATCTGACAAGGGGCTCGGCGAGGACGTCGTTCGGGAGATCAAGGCCGACGTGACGAGGACCCTGACACACAACACGTTTTTCCGCAACGGAGCGCCTGGGGTGCAGCGACTGGATGATATTTTGACCGCTTACGCGTGCCGCAACCCCCACATTGGCTACTGCCAGGGCATGAACCTCATCACGGCGAACCTGCTGTTGGTGACTCCCTCAGCTGAGGACGCGTTCTGGATTTTGGCCCGCATCGTTGAGAGCATTTGCCCGACAGACTATTACGACAAGTCTCTCCTGACGGCGCGAGCAGACCAGCAGGTGCTGCGGCAGCTCGTGACGGAGATTCTGCCTCGACTGTCCGACCATCTTGATTACCTTGGCGTTGATCTGCAGATCATGAGCTTCCAATGGTTCCTCTCCGTCTTTACTGACTGTCTATCGGCCGAGGCCCTGTTTCGTGTCTGGGACGTGGTGCTTTGCATGGAGGAAGGCAGTCTCTTCTTATTCCAGGTGGCGGTTGCACTGCTCAAGCTCAATGAGACGCAGATCCTGCAATGCGACTCGTCGACGGCCGCGTACACCTATCTCAACCATCAGATGACCAACCATGCGATCAGCATTGACAATATGATCAAGGCGTCCGAGGCGTTGCGCCGGTATATCCAAAAGGAGGATGTGGACGCGCGGCGCAAGTCTGCCATTCAGGCCATGAAGATTGCCGCTGACGAGAGAGAGGAGGCGAATGCTGCGAGGAGGGCGCAGCGGGAGGACGCCGAAACCGCGGCGGCGGCGTCGGTTTGAGTGATGCCTTTAGACGGGACTTTTGATTTCTCCCTTTCCCCTCTATGTTGAATTTGGCGGATTCTATTCAGGATAGGTACTTTCTTTGGTGTTTCTCGGGAGTCCATGATACCCCTTGGAAGATTGGGAAGACTCTGATTCATAGCGAGCGGATACACTATACAGCGGTTTTCTGAGTATCGTCTTTCGGACGTGATGTCTAGCCTCAACTGTAAATGGAGGGCCTTTATGTACGACTTTGAAGTACACTGGTAAGATTCCTCAGCTACAATCATCCCCAAGCAAGCCCATGAGTGTCCATCCTGGTACCATCAGCTTCAGCTTAGAGGCATGTCAACGAAACCAAAGCGATTGGAGGGTACTGCATCCCTAACTGGTTATCCGTTGCCCTTCTCTAAGCTGCTGTCCTCGGTCGTTTTCCGTGAGATCCGAAGAACTACGTCCTGTTAGCGTTCAGTGGCCCGGCGTAGATCAAATCGGTTCAACTGCCAGCGAAAACGTTTGAGATAGGTTTCTTGAACATCTGTTACGAAGACAACGCACTTTCTTTTCCATTTGTCGTGCAG